ACATTTTGATATGCATAATTTCATATGTTTGCATCAGTATGAAGACTAATCACATGGGGAAAATTGTACCTGGAATGCTATACATGAAACAACTGATAGTTCAGTGTTGACTGACGAAAATCACTTATCCAATTTTGTCTATCCCCAACAGAGTTAAAAATAATAAATATTGTTTGGAAGGGGCATATATTTCAGTGTACAATCATATGAATATTCCAGTATATCATTTCATTATGTGCAGTATATGTAAGCTACTTGGTTTATTCTCTGAAGAACTGGCTTACACTGAGTCATGACACGTCAGAAAATCTAATTTTCATACTGATTGAGATATTACAAATGTATTATTTCACTTATATAAATCATGTTATATAATCCTGTTGATCAGTAATAAGTAATGATTATCATTATTGCCTTTCTTGTTGTTAATTGGAATACATAAAATGAAAAGATTTAAAAGTAGCAAATCAAAAATGTAACTGAGTTTTCTTGAAAGAAATTAAATAAAGTCCGTAAACATAACTGAGATTTCTAATTCTTTAATTATTTCTCTTGACATTTGAAATAATTAATTGAGTTGTTATAAACGATATTTAACTTAAAAATTTCTATTTACCATAACAACAAGAAATATCCACATAGTTTTTCTTGTTGTTTCACATTCATTTATATCCCCCCTTTTTGATTGGAAATAATCTTATGATATTCACACGACTGAGTGTAATCAAACTTATTTACTTTCTATGTTGATCATTGGCAGCTTTTCCTTTTGTTTTAATATTTTTTCTATAATAATAAAATACTGCACTTTAACGATTTATAGTGTTATAACACTTTCTTCTACATAAGTGCACAAATTACAAAACAAAAAAGAAAAAACACAGTGAAAATTAACAAAATAAAGACAAATGAATTAGTTCAGATTGCACACAATAATTAGCCAATATTTGGCGCCTATATATTGAGATACGTACATAAAACAAAAAAGTATATTTGTCTACATCTTATTTATTTGGCAGTAATATAATAAAAATTAATGAATAAAATAATTAATTAGTTGATTTTATTCAAGATATTGATTTATGAACTTGTAAAGTCTATTAGAATTGTTAATGATTTCATTGTTTCAGTAAATTCTAAATAGAACACCATTGAATAGTTTCAATACTATTCATTGTTTGTTATTTAAACAATCTTGTAGTGATTAGAGCACGAGTGGGAACAATCGAATGTACTTAACACAAAATTACAGGACTTGTTAATAAAATCTAAGAATCATAAAGTAAATGCTTAATTTGAAAATTGTCTCAAAATGACCCAGACTTCATTGTTGTTGCATTTTCATACAAACTGCATCTTGTTCCATTCTTTACTGTTTGATTCTCTTGTCTGTCTGCTGCCAGACCTTCTGTTCACGACTAACATCATATACTACTTATGTTAATATAAGTAGCACACACCACAATCTTATATTACAGAAAGTAATTTGTTAAATTACTGTTTCCTTAACAGTACGAAGGAAAGTATAGTGTTATTTGTGAAGCACGATCGAAATAGTACAATAAATTTACTTTTTGTTTCAAAATTGAATACACTTCTACGTTTGTTTTTATTTCCAACTGAAGATGTATGTTTATGTTGATCACTTTCGAAAGCGTATTCCCTTCATAGCTATTGACATAGAATTACGAAAGTTATACATTAATGTCTAATATACTTTTTTTATTTATGCAGCAAGAGCACAAATACAATTGCTGCTCGTTTTATCAAAATTATTTGTAAAATCATAAATATTTTAATGATTTATAAGTTTGTCCTATTAATGACTTGTGTCGAAATAGGTTTCTTACAGTTTTAATTGAAAAATCGGTAACCTCCAAAGTCAATCAATTCGAAAGTGAAGGAATACTTTATTGATGATGCTGATTAAATGAGGGATGGCTTTGTAGATCCATTAATGTAGAATGTTTGTTTGATCACGCTCACCACAATGTAGATGCTATTTCTTATATAGATATATGTCAGATGTATGAAAATTAAATAATGTATTCGATACACATAAGTATTTAATGCTTGCTTACATGTAAGCTTTACTTCCGTTTGTACTTGAATACAATGTGTTTCAGAATTATATCTTATTAAAAAAACTTTATTTGTCATTATTAGTTTTTATCATTTGTTTTTCATAGAAATACTTCCTGTCGATCTGTTTCATGTCAGGAAATGTTTAGTTTGCGAATACATTTTTTATTAATTAGAACAGCTTCAGAAATTAACACAACGCCATTAAAGTTTCAATGCATTTTAAATCAAAAGATGGGATGTTGACAAATTGTTTGCAAAGACATAGATAAGTTTTATGACAATCATAAAACTTTCACTTTTTCAAACAAATTCTAATAAATAATCAGTTACAACATTTCTTAGATAAGAAAAACTCGAAGAATCATTATATTATTAAGCAAGAATAGCCACTCAGATATACTAATATATCGAAAATTTGCTAATAAATCTCACCTTCAGTTGGATATATCTTGCACTTTAAACTTTAAAACAGGACAGGAAGTAAACGTTTATTACTGAGTTACTTCAAAAATAGAGAGGCTACAAGTAGATCCTTTGTCAGAACAAAGTGAAATTGTGGGGAAAAACATATGTACTATACCGTACCATTCATCTATACAACTTATTATTTTTGTATTTTATGAAACATTCTACAGAAAAATATTCTTCCCAAATACAATTCCAACAAATTTATTATTTGTTTGCCAAAATATAAAATTTGAAACACTTAATCCCTTTGATAAATTTCGATAATGCAATGAGAAGACTAGGTTTATCAGAATTATGTGATATATTTGCGCAATACATTTCGAATTATCTGATCACACGTATACTTGTTAAGAACATTTATAAATGAAAATGAAAAGGTCAACTAGACAGATTAAGGGTAAGTCATAACAAAGGAAAAATAATAAAGTACACAAAAGCCATGTGATTACCACTCTGGATAATAAATCAGTACTACTAGGGTAGGTTAATTGTAAGGACAAATTGTTTTTGGACGCACAAAGAGGTTTCAATTTCCGTATAGCCAGGGCTTCAATACACCTTAGTATACGTCCTTTAAAATATTTGTATAACACTACACATGCCGACTTGATGTCAACCTAATGACCAGTCTCAACCAAATGTTTCTCAATGGAGGATTGTGTCTGTCTATCCAACTTGTTCGAAATGTATTGCGCGAATATATCACAGAAGTCTGATAAACTTCTCATTGCATTACCAAAATATAATTTAAATCCATGTAAAGAAATTAATTTAACTCAGAGTTCTTATTTCTGTCCCTATGATATTTGTCAATAAAATCATTTTGATAATGATCATCAAGTACTTTAACATAATATATTCATGATCATTCGTAGCATGTTATTTTTTTATAACTTCACTTGGTTCGAGTAAGTATTGTTTTTGTTTGGAAAGCATTAATCTCAAACAACATCAAGAAATGAAGGATCTGATGATCTATCTTCATATCGATTTGTGAGTTAATGATTAAATTAAGTAATCTGTACATTCTAGATCACTTTCGACAATAAATATTTTCATAGGTCAACTAATAAATTTTACAATCATCATTTATCATCAAGATATTTCACTTAATGTGTAAACCTTTTTAATGATTAAAAATGAAAAGAAATACATTGATGATTCTATCTATAAATATATTTTATGAATTTTTGTTTTTCGAATAAAATACAATAGAAATAGAAGTGCTACAATATAATTGCTAGCTGATTATAATACATCAACACAAATTAATCAACATAGAAATAGTAATTCAACACAAACCAATTTCATACCGATATTAACTATTCATACAGACACATTGACTGTTCAATAAAATCTTGTATAAATCAGATTAAATATGACCAGTTTTCAATATTTTTAGTTAAATGGAGAATATTTAGAAATGTTATTATCTTGATTTTTTTTCATAGTTGCTAACTGTCCCAAAAACATTCTTTCCAAATTATATCGAAGTACTCATTATTATGATTATTATTTTTTTGAAAATTTATTTTCGTTTTGCATAACAACTACTGTGTTCTTCACATTCTATCGTTGTATTTTTAAATGGGTAAAATGTTATTTACTCATTTCACAAATAGTGAAAATTAAAACAATCATGAATCAAAATTTAAAGTGGGAAACAATGAAAAGAAACTTAAATCATTAACAATAGAAAGCAACGTTAATTAGAAGAAAACAAAACGATTTTTTTTTGAAAAAAAGTTTACCTACAACTATAATAATAAAATAACCGAAAACATTTAAACTATACTAAATAAAGCTCGTCATTATTATTATTATTATTATCTTCTAATTACTTTTAATTACTTTATTTATTGAATGAATACAACTAGTAAAATGTATAGGTAATACCGGTCAACTATCAATACGATACAATACTGAACAGATCTTTTACAATATTACTTTTAAACCAGTCATAATATAGATTGAATAATATGATAAATCAGTATATATTCAAGATATAAATTTATATAGAATAAATTTACTGAATAAAATGATAATGAAAAATCACATGGATTTCAATGAAGAAAAAAAGAAAACAGGAACCTTCTAGAAATTAAGAGTTTGAGTGTATTGTCATTAAACGTAATAATAATAATAGTGAGATAAAAAGAATAATGAATAAGACACATTTGTATATCAATCAACACACCTCAATAAGAGAATACTTTAACTATAAAATAATGTTTAACAAATTTTATTTCGAAATATTCGAAAAGAAAGTAAAGTGTAGTAAAGTAATTAATGAATAAGGAAAATACACTTAATTTTTTTATGATGTCACTTGTATCAGTCATGGTTAAAACGTCACGAATCATCCATTGGATATGTATATCGTATTTGTATTCATTTTTGCTAGGAGACATATATGTATTGTAAATACCCTGGCTAAATAAGTTATATCATTCATCCGATTGAAGTTCTGCATTTAAAAGCATGAAATCTCCATTGATTCGAATATGTGATAAGAATTGAAGAGGATAATACTGTTCAAAATTGTACATCATTGATTCGTCACTATTAAGAAGTACCTAACAGTAAAGATAATAATATAAATAAAGTTTACAGTGTTAATTTTAGAAAAATTAAGTCAAGTTAATAGAATCGATAATGTCAATCAGTATAACTAAAAATAGGACGTTGATTCATTTTTCAATAGGAAATCTCCTGACTGTTTTAGCTTGTGGAACAAATAGAAATTTCTATGAACGAAAAGTAGGACTCAATAACAAAGTCCAATTTCTTGTCAATACACATGAAAAAGTTCAGTAAAGCTTTAAATGTCTCTCAGGTTTTAACTGAAAAGGTATGTACTATAATGAAAAAAATTAATTGCTTCAGAAAGATCTGTCATGTAAAGTAAATTTTCAGTTTCTGTTATTAAAGTAGAAAATTTAATTCCCATAAATGGTAGAAATGAAATTAATTCAAGATAAAAGCCGTACAATATTACTAATAGTGTGGTGTATGGTACTTATGTCTACAAACAAATTGGTTGTCCCCACCTGAGTATTCATTCACATTATTAATAGTAATAATATGCAACCTAAATTATTAATGATGACAGTATGATTCAGTTCAGGTACATTTCTTTCGAAATATGGGAAGTCTAACTACAGTAATTCATGATTCAGTCAGCATGATTTGTTCATAAATGCATCTCCTAAAAACGAATAATGATGTACTAAAACTATAACAAGATTCTGCTTTGATAATCTTTTAGAGTAAGAATAAAAACACATACTGTACTAACAAAAGAGTAATTTTAGACATTTTATGCTACAAATATCAATTAATTAGATATACATATACTAGTGTTTAAAATCTAAGTACTACATCTAAGATTTCAGTTCTCAAGTCTGTTTCTGGGGGAAAAATAAGGATTTACAGTTGATAATTTTTGAAAATGTAGGTATCACAAACTCATCAATTACTGAACTCATAAACATGAAGTTAACTTTAATAGGAAAACTTTGAATTTTGTGATGAAACACTTTGAACGTTAGAATTTATAACTGTAATCTCAACCATTGTTGTTATTATTGATTTTCTAATTACAATCAAAGGTGATTACCAAAATATCAATTAAATAGAAATTGAAATTGGTGAAGTCACTTACCTTTAGTGTGTTATTGTACCAACTGAATTTCATTTTACATATCTGTTCAGGAATATATGTTATCTCTTTTTCAGCATATTGAATATTATTTGTTTCTTTTGCGATCTCTTGTATTATTAAGTTACTTGTCTCAAAATTCAGTAGGATTTGCATTGAGACAAATTCAGAGCTACTGATAGGTTTATAAACATATTCGATGATGACTCTGTAAAAATAAACATCAGTAAGACATATACAGTATGAAATTAATTATAGATAAACTAATAATTAGTCTGTAGAAGTCTCAATTTTGCTAAAAAACACAGTGACCTTTCAAATAACTCAAATGTCCACAGCTTCGAATGAACAGGTGATTATAAGATTGTAGATAAACTTTATTGAAAGGTGTTGTCTTACGAGAAACGTCCTGGGCTCGACACCCTGTGGTGTTGTGGATCTGGACTTCCGAGAAGTCCCATACTAGGATAAAATAGTTGTTCAAGGCTTCCTGCTTTTCAGTGGCTGTCTAACTAAGATCAGTACGTGATAGAAACTATGAAAATTGATAATTATAAGTAGACATATTATATGCATAACTGTGTCATTTAGGCTTTTCATGTTACTGTTGCAGTGGTTTAATGAATCAGGTTAGTGATTAGTACGAGTAAACAACGAAGCACTGGAAACCCATTAAACAACGCAGTTTAGTTCAACAAGTTATCAACACAGAGAAAATAATTTTAAGATAGAATTTAAATAACAAAACTAAGCCTAAGTAACGAAGTTATTTTTGTAATTTAAACACTTTCATTCAACTCGAAAATGCTTATTTTTATACCGGAGTTAGTAAAAAGACTAGAAGCGGGAAAGTGGCTCTCAGAAAAACTGTAAACAGATTCACATATAGCAATAAGAGCAGACATCAGGACTTCATGTGAAGTTAATTATTGATTCATATGGTGTATCAGTTTGCTTCAACGTTGGCTATACGGTCTATTGTAGAAGTGACATACCAAAATATCACCTTTACTATCATCTTTACTAATCTAACGTAAGACATAAAGGACTATGATTACTTGAATTTAATTAGGAACAAAACATTTTGCGTATTTCATCTAAAATTACTATTATTGTCAATTATAGAGATTACTGACAAAATGTTGCCACACGTACAACACATAATGTCAAAGTGAATTTGTCGTAGACTTAATAACTAAACTATAGAAAACATTCTAAACTGTAATATAATGTGTATTGATAATAGTATAGCAGAAAGAGTGATAACATTATGGCAGAAAGAATGAGGACATTTACTATTTTTGTTTAGTATCTTCAGATCCTGGAATGAGTAGTCTATTCACACTACTTACTTGATATGCCAGCATTTGATTAAATAAGTTGGTACATCATTAAAATTTGGATCTACAGAAATTCATATTCTATTCTTTCATATTAAAAATGTCACACTTCTCAAAAACACAAACAAATACATAAGTATATCTCATTTAAATCACTTTGACCACATTGACTTGATCAAATCTGCTTTTTTATTGGTTGTACTAAACGGATGCGCACTGCTGAGGAGTTCTCTACTGAGACGAAATGGCCTTCAAGTGCTTCCAGGTGGTCTAACATTGATCTATTTGTGATTTCAATCAAAACTAAATAATCTCAACAACACTATACTGATAACTATATATTTTCGTTTTGTTCCTTTGTACTATTTAAACTGGGGTTTATTCTCCGAAGAAGTTCTGATAATGAGTCATGAAACACCACAAATTTTAATTTTCCTACTGGTCGAGATATTACAAATATATTATTTGTATTAGTAACAGCCTACTCAATGCTCAGGTCGTCTGAAAATATAAAGTCAAACTTTGGTAATGACAATTGCACACGCATAAATGATTAAGTAACTGAAAGTTCTAGTTCTAATACAGTAAACATCTGATAGATATCTCTCTTTATCCTGATGCTTTTAATGTAAAAATATGTTCTGTATAAAGAAGCCATGTTGTGCACCTTTGATCCTGAAGTTCACTAGAATGCAAGGTAAAGCTGATGTTTATGTTATAAGTTTGAAGAAATTAAAAAGTTATGCTTCGTGAGCTGCAATTACTTAAAAGTATAATTCACGCGTTTTTAGTACTGTAAATAAAAGTTATGGTTTTGAAGTGAAAAATATACTTGTATTATTTTCTGCATCTGTCAGAGGCGTACCATGTTAGAGTTGAACATACTAAACGTCGAAAGTGAAGATTATACAATTTCAAATGTTAGAAGAAGATCGCATATCCATTAAGAAGTTAGAAAAATAAAATAAAATGAAACGAAACGTGTAAAAGATAATAGTCTACTTATTAATTATAAGAAAGGTGAATAATAAAGGTGATAATAATGACAATAATTAGGTATGATTCAGCATATTATATACATTCTGTCTGAAATAGAGAAAAACCCAATAGTTATATGACGTTTTGTGCACATCGTTATCTTATTCTCTCTGATAAGATTCAATGTACATATTGAATGTGCACAGTTGGAATAAGATCTTGTTAGCAGCAAGATTTGGAACTTTGATGCTTAAGCACTAATTAAACTTAAATCCTAGCCTTAACGTTGATCATTTTCTCGAATAAACATGCAAGTCAATGATAATAAATCAACATCACTTCCTCACTAATCAGTAAAAGAACGTTTTGCGTTTTAATTATAAATTTAACTTTGAACAATAGAATGATCTGAACATGTTTATGCAGTTTGACATACACATGAAACAAGCTTATTTTATAGATTCACTAAAGTTCATTTTAAAATGTTTACTAATGAAGGTAATTAGTTCTTTTTCATAAATCATATCTTATATGATTTTAGTTAAACCATTGTGTTTTTCTATTTACACAGTAAATATAAGAATATTTGTAATCAGAATAAATATGATCAAATTAATATTATTTAAGTTATTCGTATGTGCGTAAACTAGAGTGATAAATTTCTGTAATGTGTCACTTGTGTAATAACGATTGTGTTTCAGTACACTGATATTGGCATAAATATCATCACTTTACTATGGATACATGCACATGTGAATAGTCAAACAAAAGCTACTTTTATCACATGCAAAAACAGATATACACAAAAGTATGCTTACATTGTAAAAAGTTATTCCATTTAGCACAAATAAATGAAAACAAGCTAAGCATCACCAATTAACAATACTTAAATGAAATGACAGACTAAGTAATCACTGAGTTACGTAGATTTATTGATTAAGATGTAAATGAAATCAACTACAAATAATTTTTTTCACTAGAGTGCTGTTAGAGGTATGCCTGAACACTGATTACCACGACGCACAATGCTGACCAGTGTTAGGGACGGTTGGAAGAGAATTCGGAGCGGCCAAACCAAAAACGTGGCATCGGCCTATAAAGTCACTAACTTATTGTCTCAGCCATGTTGGTAGATGCTGACTACTTGGTTGGGGTTCAAGTGACTATTGCAACCAACGGTCGGAGACTCTGGGTGACATGGCTCAGAAACGATCACGACGGCGTAGGTGTATACACTGTTTGTCTTCCCTTAAACCGTGAGATTAAAATTGCTTTATACCTTTCTTTCTACGAACTAATTCTTTCTTTCTGTATCATATCCCTATATGAAATCTTTCCTTTATATATTACCATCACTGAATTAACTACTTCTATGAATTTGGTGTTCATCTTGTTGTACCAATGAGGTATGGCAACGTGGATCGATGCATATATGTGCCTGGTTCTACGTTGTAGCTGACTGACTGACTGATTCACTCTAGTTAGCATCACTTAACCTCAGATGGACAAAACTAAATCTTAGATCGGATGATGGTGTTAAAGCTAGATATTTTGTAAGCAGTAAACAGAACTTCTAATGTTGCCATGGTAATGTCTATATATATATATATATTTCAAAACGAAATATAATCTTCCATTTAGCACTCTTTTTCCCTAAAAGTTTATTAATTCAGTGATACTTCGAATTAATGAGAGTTGAGGTAAAATAACTCACCACTCATTAAAATGAAAGCTACTCTTGTTTCTCCAAAATATAGTCTTAAAGGTGTGAAGTTGATCAGCTATGCACTCTTAAATGGAATAATCTCGAAAATGTAAACTAAATAAAACTGTTTGATGAACATCGACCGGGATTTTCGAAGAAAAGTTTAGATTAAAAGAAATTAAGAGACAAATTAGAACAGTGCACATAGGAGAACGAGATTGTTGTTACTGAGATTTTTATCAAATCTGCTACCCTAATATACAATAATATTTATAATCATGGATAAAAAATATTACACTAATCAAGGGAATTCCAAGTTAAAGATAATGATGAAATACATTCCATAACTTATTATGATGAGTAATAAATCGAATTTAATAGTAAGATAAAAGATTTTTCACTAATCATGGGAAGAAGGTCAAAATACTGTTTAGGATATGCGATCCCAAATTAAAACTTTTGAGAATCAAATCAATATCCATTAGGTTGAAATTATATATAATATTAAATTATTCAGGGTTAACACTAGTCGAGCAATTTCAGTACAATTTTACTACATTATACGTTTATAGCAAATACTCAGTCTAATCATTTGTTATTAAGTTATGGTTTGCCCCAAAAATTTAATTCTTCTAAGTGTGAAATCGTATATTCATATACTCTTGTTCCTCCTACCCTTAGATCAAAAGGTGACGTAGTTCTCATCGTCCAATGTAGAGTCTACTTTCAGATGGATAAAAACTATCAACTTCAAAGAAGTAGCATTTCACTAATTTAATTACCGCGGTCATGTCACGGTTCTTTTTTGTGATTTCTCACATTTGTTATTTTATTTAGTTTTCTGTGTATTCTGCTTTTTGGTAAACCATTTATTGGGAAAACAACCTCATTTTTGACACACATTGCATTCCGGTATACAGTTTTTCAGACTTCGTTTTTGATATATGAACGACAATATTTTTTCTGATAAACAACACTGGGTGAATATCAAAATGCTTCGTCGGCAAAAAATATGGGGCTCATACACTGGTTAGTAAGGCAGTGAAAATAAGATAGCTTTGTTTACTTTATAGAAGTACAGAGCACAACTGTATCTATTACACTTATTGTAATAGCGTCGACTACTTGATGTGTGAACACTGATATTTCAAACGTCTTATGGGCTCAAAAACAAGGGTTTTTAGCTTTGATTCCTATGCCTACAGTTACACGCAAAAACGAGATCTAATTCAGTTGGTAGAACTTAAGAAAATAAGATGCGCCGTTTTGAACTTTGTAAATGTTTACATTGCACGAACACTATCGACAAAGTGTAATAGATCCAAGCGCAGTAAGTATTTTCTATGACCATGTTCAAGTCGCGCGAACAGATACTCACTAATCTAATAATAAGTATGTTCTTTAGTTGGGCACTAACCATTGATCGACTAGAAAACGACTAATGACGATTTAATTAAAAAAAATAATATTCTTCTCTTACATCTTTCGTTTGAATTTACTCGATGAGAATTAAAGTTCACCAATATATTAACTTATTTAAAGAGTAAAATCTCTAAACACACATTAAATATATATCACTTATTTATTGTATTGATAATGTTAGCTTTATCCTTTTCAATAATTACAATTTTTACAAAGTCTATTGTTGTGCCTAAATCATCTTATACATAAAATTACTATATATCTAACCATGTATATAATAGATATATCTGATTTTAATGAATTTGTTCAAACCCTAGTTTGTTTTTCTGAAATGGCATTCAAACAGAAGTTAGGCACTTTTTTTCATATCGTATAACATAAATTTAAAATATGACAACTAAAAATGGAAAATTTTAATCGTTAAAACGTCATGTATTACAGATATCTAGTAACGATAAGCCAAGTAAAATATTTATACTAAAAACACCTTAAATAAATTAATTTTAAAAGTTAAACAAGTATATTTATAACCATAACTATTTCTAAACAAAGATGGATAGTGACCAGCAGTGGAATCCAGAACGCAAGCTTCGTCTTATTTGAGACTCGTGAGCTGGATGTACCTGCACCTCAGATTTGATGTTCACTCTGAGACTTGAAGCCAGTACCGTTCGCTTCAAACGTCATCGCGTTATCCACTTAGCTAGTAAGTACTGATATCCACTTGCTTGTGCAATTAGGTGAAGTTTAAATTCACTTGGTATTGTTTACTTGAATCCTCTCATTGATGTTTAGGACTGCAATTGATCAGTCGCTTATTAAGATATGTGTATACTATGCGTATTGCCTCGATATTGCCTTAATTCACAGAATAAACATGAACCCTGAGATGCAGGTACATCCGGCTGACACGTCCCAGATAGAACGAAACGCGCGTCCTGGATTCCGCTGCTACCACTATCCATTTTGCTTATCATGCTTGTGAATTAAGGCAATGTAAATAGTGAGCACATATACCAATAATAGACTGATAAATTGCAGTCCTAAACATCAATGGGAAGATTCAAGTAAACAATACGAAGTGAATTCATAACTATTTCTGTTATAATGTGATTGAAACGAAATACTATAAATACATAATCTAATAAACTTTATTGGTAATTAGATGAAAGCATACTATCACTTATAATAAAATATCAACTCCTAGTTCATATCTCCATTTTTCCACTACTTCAATTAAATCACCGAATTATTCATTGTGATTAAAACCAGGTTCATCTATTGTCACTCTTTAATTTTTTTGTACTACGTTAAGTTATTGACAATGCACTTGATAATGTGAACGCCATTAGTTTGCATGTAAATATATATAACTAAACATTTTCTTACAATTAGAAATTAATATGTAACTATAATTATAAACATTTTAAATACCTAAAAGACTTACCTTTTGGTATCAGCAGTTAGTTTTGTTAAAAGATTTAATGTGTTTGTTTGACGGGATTCATCTTTCATATGAAGAATAAGTGGTAAACACTATATGGGAATAAGGAAAGAAAGAAAATATTGATAAAATGTGTCTTAATAAAAAACGCCCATTTCTCAGAACTTAAAATGAATTTGTAAGTAACTTGTAGGAAGTGAATCATAACCGTATTTTAATTTTTACTCTAAACAATGTTCATTCCTTGTAGGAATGAAAGTTTACCATGAATTTATTTAAACACATCAATATGTGCTAGAACATTGCTTTGCTAGTGGGTTCAAATGTGATCTAGAAAGTTCTATAATGTTGCTATAACATTCATAATTACAGTCGATTGACATATTAGTAGCTGACATAAAAGTTAACTTATAACCGTGCTTTACTTAGGACCAGTTTATCCATGTTAGAATACGTCAACTCAAGTTTATAATGTATAGAAGATGTGTCTACATAAAACATGTTACCAACCTCATGATATAAATAAACTTAATTCAAAGTATTTGACTTGTTTCATCAATATTCTTACCACTTGAACAGTTTAAAAACACCAAATTTAAGGAATATAGTGCACTCATATTGTTAGATCACAAATATTCCAAACGACATTTAAGTTCAGATATATTCTATCCTATATATTAAACAATTTTACCGTTCTTTAACATTTATGACATTTATTGCTAAATAGTGAAAATCTACTTAAATTCATTCACAATAGTAAGTGTTTTCTTCTTAATTAGAAATCTTTAAAGAGAAATCTTACACTTTTATTTCTTACATAGTAACAGATATCGATAGTTTAACACTTAAATAAACACTACTATTTGGTTAAATGAATTAATTCTAGTTAATTTATGCATTCATATTTAATGGTGAACAATGAATTAGAAAGGTGTATTAAATCAGTGCACATAAAATTAAAAACACATAATGATTATTATGTAAATTGGATAACATTGACCTTGGAAAAAAAGTAGTAAATCTATTTCTAGGGGTATTAGAATTGATGAAATTTATAAAATCTAAACTTTGTAAATATTTATCATGAGGATTTAATGATATAGTGATCTGTTCTTCAGTGATTTCTTTATATTTTTTTTCCTTTTATCTAAATAAATTCTGACTGGGTTCATTGAACATATTCTCTTGAATGTCAGCGACGTTATTATAGCCGGATAATTTTCCTCTTCTTCTTCTTCTTCCTCCTCCTCCTCCTCCTCCTCCTCCTCCTACTACTACTACTACTACTACTACTACTACTGCTGCTAATACTAATACTAATACTAATACTTTGATCTTGTTGAATTACCCTACTCTCAGCATACAATACTGAAACTAAAATGAAGATAACTTTTCAAGTAGTAATAATATAGCAATATTAAAGCAAAATACCAGTTTGTAATGTTCCTAAATACTAAATGAAAGATTATTTACAGAGATTTGTTCTTATCAATTTGTTACATAACTTATTTCAAGGCGAAATTCTTGTCTCCCTATAGTTAGTATTTTTCTTTTCCAGTTCATTATCACTTATGAAATATATTATTACGTCATTTTCCTATTCATTTACAAAATTACTTCATATTCATCTAAACCAATGCATTACTTCTAGATGATCATTTCGAATTATTATCAAACTCGAATATTGTTTTTTAATCTTTACTAAATAATAATTGACTAAGGATATTAACATGATAATATTATTAGGATAGAAAAGAACATCGTAATAAACGCCTCTTGATCTTCGAATAAGCAGCCTATTTAAAATCCCACATAAATTTTCAAATGAATATATTCCCTCAATTTTTATCCATCTACTGATTGAAGAAGATTATTTTTTCATTACATAAAGGTTATCAATCAAGTTTTCATAATTAATATGTTCATACTAATAACTAGAAATGGGAAAAGTTACTATAATTGATACAAATCAAATTTTTGCTATAACTAGATCATGATTAAGAATAGATGTGACAGCTAACGGTTAACTAATGTGAAAATAAATTTTAGGCAAAGTTCTGTTGTTTTTAAGTATCAACGATCTTTTGTAGTTTCCTTGTTCATATTAATTTATTCACAGTCGTATTCACTCTATTCTGTCTTATACAAAAAGCGTGGTAGTAGCGTGTTAACTTTTAAAGGGAATTCTCGACTGTGGCTCAATCATTCAGTTATTTACTACTGGCTCAGTTTCAGGCTTTAGGATGTTGGTTTTATCATATATTTACAAGAGGATTGTATAAAACCTAATTTGATATAAACTCTAATAAATTATCTCAAAATTGTATTATGACAACAAAGGCATAATATAAATGGTGGAAAACGCCATAATTGCGATGAGAACAGATAAGTGTTGAGATAGGATGTCTGTGAAAATGACCCAATTTAAACTTTTTATCAATATGGGCAATGACCAGTAGATTATTGAAGATTAAGTACGTCTGAATGTACATCTTTCCTTAGTTCAGTAATGACGAGTAAATCATCCTACTTATGTTCGGATTCAGTACGATTACGTCTGATATATAATAATATATCTTTAAACCATTAAGTCTCAGTTTATTGATCCACAAACAGCCAACATCAATTTCGGAATAATTTATAGAATGAAACTATGGATTATTATCAAGTACAAAGATTTACACACAAGCTCCTTTTACCGAATTTGGTTAATGAAATTACTACACTAAAAAAACAGTTCTTTTTATCTAATTCTAAGAATATGAATCCGATATTATTGCGATCGGAAACTCAAGAGTTTTCGAGCGTGTTAGTATGTAAACTGTAAACAAAGAAGTCGTTAATTCCAAGTTGAAATTAAAAGAATTCAAAGGCATTTCCGCAATTCTGTTCGAAAATCGGTAAACCTTAACGCCACTCTATAAAAACTGCAACCACCTTGTTACTCTAAACATTAGATTAGGAATTCTTTTAGTTACATATAATTAGTCATTTATTTCTTCAATTCCGACTTATTTTCTGTTTCGGATAATCTACTAATCACTTTACACTGTGATCCATGACAGATTGTATGCCATATGTTTTATAGAAATCTTAAATATGATCAACTTAATAATGATTGTTCGGTTGCTATCTTTTAACAATACATTATAAATAACTCATTTGACTAACTTTTATTCATTTCAATTTTGTTTTCTTACCTCTTTGCATAGACAGATATATCCTTCAAAAATTTCACAAAATCTTTCAGGTTCAAATCATCAACCATAACCTGGCAATATCAGTTGATATGAATAGTTAAGAGACTATGCATTACCGTATGTATAACTACTGAAAACCGCTTTTTTGTGTCATATGATAAGTTTAAGTGGAAAACGTCACAAAGCTAGTATTCATTATATGATCAATTTTATAGGCATTTATGTAAATTTAAAAATTGAAAGACTAAAGTACACATATACATTTTACATAGGTGACATGCTTTTATTCACATGAAACAATAAGAATTAATTGATTCCGGTTCAAGTAACTTGTTTAACGTAATATACTTAAGGCAACTATAAAAAACCACTATTTGATGAATGTTTAAGCAGTTTTAGCATTTAATATTATGATTTATATGGAACATTACATAATCTATTACTTTCGTACGTGAATTATGTAAAATAAACTATTTAACCAGTCGATTTATTACACAGAATATATATATATATATATATATATATATATATATATATATATATATATATAACAAATGAATATGTTAATCATCTTTACGTAATTGTTTCTTCCCACTTTGGTTGTTCGATCATTAAACACGGAACTTTCTTGAAATTAGTTTTGAAACCACACTACTGACTAGTTATTGAGATATAAATGAATAATTCATAATAACCTAATGTCTATTAGATTTGAATGTCAACCAGTAGGCGGACTATTCTGGAAGTCTGAACTTGTTATAAACTCAGATATCTGATACAACATCACAGAGTGAATTCAAGCGTACTACTGTGACCTCTTAGAAACCCACTGAACGGTTTTTCAATAGCCATTATATTACCAATGTTTTCTATGATAAAAGCCCTCATAAAATTCATGTTTCAGCCATACTTATTCTGGTTAGAGACACGTTTTATAAGTTGAACTGAATGAATTATACTCATCTCGTGAGGGTTTATCATGAAACGAGACTATAAAAACAGTTATATCCGGAAATTTGTTTCGATATACCCTAACAACTATAGGTAAACATTGAGTCAGCTCACTTCTGATTACTAACTTAAAACAATTGAATAAGCAACTAAGGTAACAAGTTGTACAATATAATATTTTTATTTTTAAAAACAACACACTTACTAAGTTCCTTGGCATAAAAAGTTTATCCAACTCGGCATTTGTTGAATCTTCAAGTTTAAATGATTTCAAGTGATAATTAGTAGATTTCAAGAATTGATTATTCAATATTAATGTAAATAGATCATTTGAAGTAATCTAAACAGTATATTAAATAAATACAAATACAATGTATTACAAGTACATCATATTCTCACAACATTTTAGCCAATCTATCAAAAAATAATTCTGAATAACTAACACATTTTTTTTCTTAAAATTTAGTTGAACTAAGTTTACAATCTAAATGATTACAACATAAAGAATGTGTAGTGTAAACAATGATGATTCTATAAAATCACCAATAGTTATTCTACAACAAATTGCCAATTGAAGATTAAAAAAAACTGTGTAAACTGAGTCAACTTCTCTTTTATCTTTCATAAAATTAAAAAATTTACTCAATCAGTTGAGTAAAATCTATAGTTTTTTTTAATATTATGTATAAATGATTACATTTTTCTCTAGGTCACATAGTTGGCAACCAGAGTGTTTTTTTTCTCCAGAATTACATCTCATGCAATATCGACTTGATATTAGCCATTTATATTTTCTAGTTGGTTAACCATTAAATATTATGATTCTAATAAAAGACTGAATGAAACTATTGAATTGATAAAACCATATTTTGACGTCATCTATAGATCAAAACAAGAATAATGAGAAAAGTAAAAAATGTATGTGTGCCACTAAATCAACTGAATTCTGTAATTGATTCACTTGTCTACATAATTATGCTGTATTAACTGTCTAAGTAACAATATATATCATGTAACTATATGATACTGCTCAACTAATCAGTATCTATATATGGACTTTTGATTTATTATGCACAGTTGAAAAAATTGTAGCTGTTAGTGACAACCTTATTCATAACTTTGTAGTTGATACTTATATTTAGAGATTACGTGGTTTAGAATTTATAAGGGAACGCAATTTATGTTGTTACACTTATTGATAAAAATATAAGGCTTGGAAACTGATTACGGATTCATAAGTTAAGTAAAATCACTAAATATAGTGTAATTCCATTACTTTTAAGCTAAAAGAAATGATTTTCACAATCTGTTTACTAACAAATTAAAAAAAGTCACATAATTTTCAGCCACTCTCAGTGTCTCACAAATTTATGATTATAGGATAGTCGTCTACAGATATATGTGTAGCAATGAAGTGATTCAGTAGATAGGCAGTGGTACTCCTCACTAAAGGTATCTTGGCAGAGACAATCGCTTATGCATTTTGTGACTGTTTAATTTCTGAATTCAGTGTTCTATCTACGACAAATATAAAGTGTAGTTCGTAGTTCCAATTAGCTGTATTCCGTGATTTAAGTCGACTTCTAGGAGTACACCATATCACTAAAACAGTCCAACATTGAACAGTTTAGTGGAAAGATTCCATCGCCAATTAAAAAACTCGTTTAAGCCACAGGCGAATACAATAAAATGCAGTGATATACTGCAACTTGTTCTTTTGAGAATCCGACTTAGTATTAACGAAAACATCCAGTGTTCAACAGCTGAATTAGTGTGTGGCACAACTTTAAGTTGACCCAGACAACTACTTAACGAGGATGATAAACTGAATGGCAACTCAACAGGATTTGCCAAAGTGTCACTACAAACAAGGAAACAAATGAAGTCAGATCCCCATGCACATATACTCGTAGTGAACAGATTATCCGACACCTAAGCACATGCAAATCTATTTTCACCTTGGGACACTCTAAGAGGAAGCTATGCGGAGGTGGTTAATTTGGACTCAATTTATGAATGGTCTTTGTTATTATTCACATCCTTCAAAATTTCATTCTATTTGTACAGTTCTCATTGTTTATTGTAAAATGTTGTTTGAATTGTCAAATTAGCTTCCACGCGTAAATATATTTCTCATATTAACAATCGTTAAATATAATACATGTGCTACTCACAACATTTGGTGCTCTCTCTTTTAACTGTATTTAATTCATCAGGTTTATATAAACCTGTTCATACATATTATAAGTTGCTTTCTCCAATATTTATCAGGTGAAAACCACATTTCAAATATTTGATTACATATATATAAACCTCTTTGGAGATAATGATTCTCCTATATAAAACTGATGATTCAGCTTGGACGTATTTGGTCATACAGACGCTCATCACTCACAAGAAACCATATTTTATAACATCCTGTTTCATATTATTTATCAACTAATTAAATCCATTGGTCTTTTTGTAAATTCATATACTCGTATTTTTGGCGTATTGCTTTATACTACAAGGTATTTTCAAAGATATCACAAAATTTTTTATCATTTGTAATTGTAATTCATCTCATATACTGCAGTTGTAATAAAAAAATGATATCAGTAACTAGATTTCTATCTGCTTGCATAAATGAACTAGGTGAATTAAAATTTGATATTCAGTAAGCTATCAGTAGATGTTGTCTTTTATAATCATTGAAAAAACCGAATGTCACACGTCAAATAGCTTGTCAAAAATGCAAAAATAATGAGTATGATTAAACTGAAACTTACAGCAGTATAGAAGCTTTGAGATATGAATTTCAGAGTGAAATTTACTTGTTGCTTATCATTATTGCAAAATTCATTATTTTTTAGTGTTAAATATTGAATATCATTTGAAGAACTGTATAGAATTTTGCTATTAACGGGTTGGCTATTCAAAATATCTAGGCCACCATCAGACCATAATTGAAGATAAAGTGTTTCACATTCATTAGCTTCTTCACAGAAGGTGTTAAACTCAAGTTTTATTAAACAGGATTGGCGTGCAGCTGAATTGTACTTGAAATGACCATAAACTAATGCACTTCGTCCAGTTGTTAGAGGATGTGGTAAATCCATACTGCTGTCACATTTTATTGACTTTAATAAAACAACAAGTTAAAATAAAAGCATGATTATAATCAGAACGGTGAAACAATAAACCTTTTTATCGTACATTAAAGCAAAACATTTCAAAAATGTATATATTTGTTACTTTCCCACTGAAACTACTATAGTGTTGCATTGGTCATCATAAAATGTTGATAGATTCACAATGAACTATTTTTTTGCCAAACTTATTTAAAAATCAATATTTTATGAACATGAATTAACATCATAAGTGGATTGAATTATGTCGTATCTATGAGGAAAAAACCCCAGTTGGTTCATTATCATATGTATTGTGTAATCAACCAAAATGAGTTATATAATAAATTTTGCAAGTACGAAAAACAATTATAAATGGTACGATATAGTTCTATCTCATAACACAAACATTATTAGATTGGAACACTTTTTGACTGGATTTGTGTCTGAAAACTGATATCCTAATAAATTCATTTTAGCTGAATTGTTAATGTTAAGCCTTCATATAATACAACATTACATAATAAACAATAATGTACACCCATAATGATTTGGCAAAATGAAGGTTTGATCATTGTTTTAATTGTGATTACAGATATATATATATATATATATATATATATAATATATAATAGATAGATAGAAAGTATTACTGAGGAGTCCCGTAATAGAACGAAACGGTCATCTAGTGCTTCTAGGTTTTCCATGGTGATCTAACTTCAGTTGATTCATGTTTATAATTATTGTTAAATTACTATAATATACTAACCTGAATAATATCTTTTAATAAATAGTTTTGAATTAAATGTTTATGAACAATAGGAGCTGAAGCGTAAACATTTGATGTATAATTTGGATATACATTCCCATCTATACGGATTGGATTATAGGCTAAAAGAAATGTATGAAAAATTAGTGTTGTATATACCTGTGTAGTTTTACTAAGATTAATAAAATTTAATTTTATTGTGAAAACTATTAGTTGAACAGTTGGTAAACATCAATAATGATAATTATTATCTCCAATATAGCTCTGTTACAAAAGATGTAGGTTTACAAACATTTATATTTAAATGCTTCAAAAACATTGACACAGCTTAATCCTAACATAACAGTGAAGTTAAAATGATGAAAAATATTGAGCACATAAGTATTTAGTATAGTCAACATGTACTATATGACTACTTCTATACTAACCTACGACATAGGTCGATTTATAAACCTTCTCTACGGAAGCTAAAAAGTGGTAGGTAAAACACCTCGTACTTTGGTTTCCAGTATCTACAATTTTTGAAACAAAAGCATGTACATTCATACAGATGATTCGGATAACCAAACCGTATAATCAGAAAGCATAATTACTCTTAAAATAATCGGTTTTCGACTGCTTCATAGAAACCATAATTTCTCTAACGAAGCAAAAACTGAACAAAAGTACCTCTTTTCTACTGGATTTCAACTAGTTTATGAGCGTACAAAAAATATTTGTATAGATCTACAACTTCCAAAGTTATTATTTTAACATGCAATTTTCATTTAAAATAGTGAAAATTTCAACCCTTACAGTCGGTGAACTTGTGAACAGTAGTTTGATACTGAATAGCTTATAAGGCGTGATTTGATCCTTAGAAAAAGCAGCAAAGATCATCGGGTATAGGTACATTTATTTATTAATTATTCTACAAATAAGTTATCGGTAACTTGGATATTACATTTCAATATAAATAACTCTCAGAGTTTCGTAGCTTATAACTTATTCAGAAGTCAAAATAATAGTTTTTATTATTGAAAATATTTCACAAAAATTATAATATAACGTGAACTTAAGAGTAAATAGGAAGTGAAAAAAAACCTCCTTACGTGAATTAGAGCTGTTCAACCAAGATGAGACTTCTTCCTTTTTAGTACCTGGACGTTTTCTATATTTTGGGGTCAATTTTCGATCAGTTGGTTTAAGCGATGAGATACTGCTGCTGACCGATTCTTGACTGTCATTTCTATGTAACCCCATATTACGTCTAGCTTCACGTTCCAATTTCGTTGATCGTTTAGAACGATAATTTCTCAGGGAACGTTTACGATCAAAATAATATTCACTTTTACCTACTTCTAAGTAACATTCATTGTCAGTATACACTTCACTGCCTCCACTCTCTGTTTCATCACCATCTGATATATGTTCACTTAAAGAAAGAGCTTTACGTGTAGATTGCACTTTTTCTTTCAGTACATATTTTGTTCCTTGTATTTCATTGGTATTAGTACCAGTTAGGGTATAATCTGCATAGGGTCGATGATCTGCTAAATTATTTTTGTGTATATCGGCAGCTATCTCTGATGCACTTCCACTGGGCTTAAAAGGTTTGTTTCCTGATGTATCTACTGTAGGATACGGATGGAAGTTTGGATCACACCTCTGAGTAAGAGTTATATCTTCATGGTTGGGACTTTTAGTTCTCGAGTTTATTATCGCCGCTATTTCAGGAGCTGTACCTTTTAATTTTAAATTTGCAATATCAGAGGGAGGTTCATTATGATATCTTGATTGCTTCGGTGAATGATCTGTTGGTGTGAATGGTCTTATATGTGAGCCTGAACCTTGAGCAATGGTTATATCTTCTAGATTTGAAGTAGGATGCTTCGAGTGAATTAAAGCTGCTAATTCCGGAGCTGGTCCTTTAAGTTTACCTTGTGAGTGCAAATCACTTAGAGATGAAATCTCGATGGATTTTCTTGAGTCACTCAATGTCTTGTGTTTAAATGGATCATAAGAACTACCAACATTTTCATATCCATCATAATGTTTCCTATCAAAAGGTGCAAAATGAGTATCATCACTCAATATTTCACGACCAGTTAAATTAAGTGTATCAAATTCAGCTGATGGATTGGATTTGTGAAGATAAGCTGCAATTTCAGGTGCTGGTTTTTTAGACATCTCTTTTGGTAATCGTTCAGTGACAGCTACATTAATTGCCGGATGTATATTGTTCCTAGTAAAAGCAAGATCTGATGATACTGAAGGTGTTTGATCTGAAATCGTAATAACATGAAACAAGGTTACTTGATAACAATGAATTATACAGAACAAAATTTTCAGAACAAAATTTCAATAGCCATTATACTTTATTTCTCAATAAGTAAACTTAAATAATTTACGTTTTTACAGATTTTATATTGATTTAAAATTAAAAAGTTTAAGGAAAGGAACCTACAGTATTCTTACCCAACGTGTCATTTATTCTTCAATGGTTGTTTAGGTCCTAAAAATACTTATACAAAATTACTATAAAAATAATTTGATTTTTACAAAGACGAGTTCTGAATGAACATTTGTATATATTCTATAGGAATCGTCCTCTGTTTGTTTAGTTAATGGTTAATAGCTAATATTACTCAATTCAAGATTGTTTCAAATAGAGGTATCCATATCAAAGTTAGATTTGATAGTTTCCAATAGATTGAGCATTTGGTAGAGTTAATAATAAATAAACATTTTGTTATATCAAAATGAGTAGAAAAGTTGTGTATCTGACGTTTCATGACTTAATGTAAGCCACTTCTTTAGAGTAAATAAATAACCGACAATAAATTAACACAAGTTTAATGTCGGTTATTTGTTTACTCTGAAGAATTGGCGTACATTAGGTCATGAAACGTCAGAAACACTATTTTTCTACTAACTGGGATATTACAAATATATGATTTTTACTTAAAACAATCTACCCAATACTCAATTTATGCGAAATCATCAATTCAAACCTTGTTAATGATACCTACATAGGTAATTATATTTCTTCTGTTAGATTGCTTAATTTAATTTCGATTTTCTTAATAAACTCATATCAGTATCATTCGAAAATGAGTGTGGTATAGTTTAAGACTCCTCAGAATTCCTTACACATGACCTGAAACAAGATTAAAGCCAAGATCTACTGGTCATATAATAAATATGTCATATTCATACTACCATGTCACAATTCAGTGGTCTACATTTTCAACGTAAATCATTACATGATTAATACTATCTTCATATTGTATTTCCATAGCTATAGTTAAATCCTATTAATATCAGCTTTTCATTAGAACTTTAGTAATCCTCCTCGGAGTTAGCCAACATTAGGGGTATTATTATTATTAAGCTAGTGGATTTGAGAAAATTTAGTGGTTTAATTCAAGGGTACAAAATTTTAAAATCTTAAATCCAATTCACTTATCTGACCTAGAATAATCCGAGTGAAGGAAGCTAAGAACAATGGTTTCGTACTGGAAACATGTATCTATAAACCTTATACTTAGTACATTTGCATTAAGGAACATACAGAATTTCAGATCTGCCACTGTGATGAATCAGGATTATCTGGTTAATTAACAATAGCCCCTGAAAATTAATTCGCCAGAAACTACTATGAATAATAACTGGATGTTCTAAATAAAGATGTTTGTACTATTGAGAATGATTTGTACAATAGTCATGGTGTTTATTATAAAAAGTGGTTGGATTTTTACAGCGTATAAAACTACTGAAATGATTAAATTTAAATCTCGATGAACGGATAATATTACAAATTATGAGATCAGCTAAACTGTATAACCTATAACTGATTGAATGGCGAAGAATCGATTTAAAACTGATGTTTTCAACTAAACTGTTCTATGAACGGACATGCTAACTAATAACCTATTTTTCGAACTTTCAAACAGTTTAGAGAGATCGAGAAGATAAAACTGTGGCTCCATTGAAGACAGATAGTATTCGGATCTTTTCACAACAGACGTAGGCACATATTATTAAAAACCAGTTGAAATAGGATCTTATATCAGCTGCTATACGAACCGCTTCATGAACAGAGAAAAAACCTTATTCAGGAAATGTTTCGACATTGGAAATATCCGAAAAGCTCTAGTTACACACACTAGCTTCTAAATAGTACCCTCATCAGATAGCTTAGGATTGCTCCCAGTTATATTCATAATTTACTCTTTTTATCAGTCTAGTATTGATATGAAGTAGACCAACTTTATTGTCGCTGTTTGGGCGGTTGATAACACAATTTTCTGCTATTTGTCATTCTAATGACTTTTACATGTTTTTTTTGTTGCTTTATCAAATGTATAACGTACTTATTTGATTGTTAAGTATTATAAGTTAGAGAAGAAGGATTGAGCGATAAAGATGAGATAATAGTCATTAGTACGTATTAACACTGTGAAATTCCCTTCATCCACAGTAACTTTATTTGACTAATCTAGCTATGGTCATACTGACTGTACCTTTAGTTTTCGAACGTTTAAAAGGATTTTTTAAATGTAAACCCTTCTTCTTTTTCTCGCCTTCTCCATCTTTCAACCTTATGTCTGGAGTAGATCCTTTGGATTTCTTAGAGTCATTACGTACATCTGACTCGGAGCCTGTTGATTTTCTGTTCTTTCCAAGTAAACTGAATCGTTTTTTCTTATGTTTGTCTTGCAAGTTAGGTGTTGATGTTGTAGCAGAAAGTTGAGATCCTATATGATCTTCGTCATCCAATACAGAATAGCTTCCATGGTGTAAATCGCCTGCATCTGTCTGACTTCTGCCTTCGTTAAAACGTTGTTCAATTTTACTATTACTTAAGGTAGCAGACTTTCGAGAACCAAAAATAGATGTTTTCGGTTTTATATGTGACGCATCATTTGTATTAAGGTTACCTCGACTTCCCATTACGTAATCTGATACTCTGTCATTAGCTGACTTGCCTAGAGGTGGTAATGTTCCAGAGATTCTTGAGTCTGAATTGTGACTAAAATCAATACTATTACGATATGAATGGGCTGCAGAATTTCGATCTAATGTAGATACTTTGTAATCAACGTCTAAATATGCTCTAGATAAATCATTTGACGTTTTCCAAGCAGTAACTTCTAGATTACTATCTTTACTTTTTATTGATTGTTTCTCCAATTTGGAACCTGTTCTTGTTGGTACCATCACTGGCGGATCATTTCTGCGTATGGAACTTTGTCTTAACTCATTGACACGTACAAAGCCTGCTTGTGCATCATCCATTCTAATGCTATTACTGTTATTATTAGCAGAAGACATGTTTGTATTATTATTCATTTCCTCTTCATCATAATACATGTCTTTAAATTCAAGAGATAATATATCAACTTTTCCTTGCATTGATAAAGCAAACGCTTCATTCAATGGTACAAGATGATCTTGACCACAAACGTCCTCCCCGTTTAATTTAACCTATAGAACGAGAGAAAGAATAAGAACAGGACAAGAAAAGTTGAATGGTTTGAAAATTAATAATGAAATTTCATTTGAAATATATAAATTTATATTTCAAGTTCAGTTATCGTCTTTCCTCTTTTTCGGGGTAATATAATTAATTCTATATGTTCTTTATAAATTTCAGAACTGTGGAATATTGACTATTATCGTCACTACACAGTAATAAATTGATGAGTTTACGATATATACCACAAAGTTCGTTTGAACATTTAGGCAATTTTAATGCAGAAAGATGTATGAACCATAGCATATATTCTTAATTATGTCAATTATTGCCCAATTTAAAGGATTTGATAACTGGGAATTTGAATCAGGGATTAAAGTCTAGATCTTGAAATTTAGCCATAGAATATAGTTGATAACTAGTTATAGAACAAGTATTACACATTACTTCTTGCTATAAAACTAAATGTTAAACACATTTTTTAATTAATTTTAAGCGATCACGATCCTGTAGTTACATCCTGACATATTACAATAATCGATCTGGATCAATTATTAGATTAATTACTTACAGAAATTAAGCCTTAGTTCTTACTCAACATTTGTATTTCCGATTGTTAAACCATTAAAATGAATATGATTACCAAAGTTACCATAAAATAAATTCACATGAAACGTTCTTATTTTACTTAAGATGTAAGGATATCACATTCATAGTATCCGCAATCTGTTTTAATATATATCGTTTTACATCTTCAAAAAAAGTTACTTTTGTACACTGTAATTAACAATTACAATAGTAAAACAAATAAATCTCGGACATTTGTGTATGGCAAAATGTATTTTTTTTAAATCCACAAACGAAAATGATGTGACTCCATAGCTGAATAGTTACATGATGATCAGAAGAAAAATGATGCATATACTTGATTATGAATTATGAAATAATCATTGAAAATAGTTTGTATTTAGTTAGTTATGTTTCTTTTAGGTTTTGTTGTCGGCTGACACAATCCAAAAATAAATGATCACCATGAGGTACAAAAAAGTTATTTAGTACTAGTTATGATCTTTTAACAACGTGTTATCAAGTTTGTGCAAAATATGAACGCAAAAATGTTAGCTTATCCCAATTGATATCCGTCAGTCATGAAAAAATAATTCACTTCACTGATTAATGACATAAGATTAGTGGAATGAATAAATAATATGTTTAGCGAAAACAAATATAAAATGATAGGTTGTAAGGTGATTAGATAAATGGACATTTAAGCTATCTACAGAAAATCATTTCATTTATGAAGTCTTTTTTAATAAACAAGCGCTATGTTACCAGGGCTACAATTATATGTGAGAACGTATGTACGCACTTGATCTATATAGGTAAAAGATATCATTTATTAGATAATTGATAAAGTTGACATGTTTCTCCATTTAAAGAACTTTAGTGAAAACTGTATCCCTACGATTTATGTATACTGGAGACAACTCGTCTTAGGAAACAAAAAAAATTTGTTCTATTCTTGGTATTTCTGGTAGTTCCCCTAAAGAAAGTGAAAAATATATTCTTTTTAAACACAGGTTATTTTAGTTTGGGTGACTGTTGCTTGTGGTAACAATTGACATCATCAGAAATATCCCTATGTACAGGCAGAATTAGACAGCTGTTTAGATTTAGTTTACAACTTCAGCAGTACTCACTTTTTCGGTACATATTCCAAAATTTGGACGATACAGAAGATCAGCATGGCCCCTGCTCAAGGATAACACGCTAAATTGTGAAGCATTCCATATTTTAACTCCACCTGTAGCTCTTCTAAGGCTAATGCCAACCTCAAGCCCCGGTAAAGGAGGAGGGTTAGGCATGGGGCCGGCGACCCCATCCCGTAGAAAACAACCATGCTAAAAAACGCTAACCAGAATAAACAATTTAAAGTCTTTCCTGGGAAGTGAAGGAAGAATTATGACGCCTCATGATGAAAGCCGAGATTCTTCGGAAGTTATGGGGTCAATGCCCCTTCTAGCAACCAGATCAATAGTTAATATAGGAACATGGAACGTCCGGACAATGTGGGAAATCAAGAGAACTAATCGAATAGCAACAAAAAAGAGGAGATACAACTTGGCAGCACTCGGAATCAGCGAAACCCATTGTACCCAAGCTGAACAACAAATGCTAGATACGGGAGAGATGCTGCTGTATTCCGGTAATGAAGAGGAAAATGCTTCACACACTCAGTGATTTGGTCGAATGCTGTTCAAAGATGCACGAAATGCACTTACAAGATGGGAATCTCATGGATCTAGGATCATCAAAACATTCTTTAAAACAAAGAGGGAGGGAGCTGCAATGTATGTTATCTAATGTTATGCACCCACCAATAATACCAATGACAACCATAAAGAATAATTCTACGAGAGGGTGTGATCGATTATAGCAAAGCCCCTGGGAAAGAACCTGAAAATCCTGATGGGAAACCTAAACGCCGAAGCCGGAATGGACATCACCGGATATGAAGATATCATGTAACGACACAGACTGTGAGAGAGAAACGAAAATGGGGAGAGATTTTCAAACCTATATGCATTCAAGAAATTGGTTCTGGACAGCAAAGTATTGTCACACAGACGCATACATAAAACTATATGAGTGTCACCAGATCACACCACGGAGAACCAGATAGATCATATTTGTATTGATACAAAATTCAGGACAGTGAAAAATGTGAGAACCAGTAGAGGAGCCGACGTAGCTTCAGATTACCACCTGGTTGTGGTCAAGAACAAAATCAAGCTAAAGAAACACTGGACAACTGGACAAACAGCACTACAAACGTGGTACAGTTTTCCTTTGAGACACTGACATAATTAATTCAAGATAGTCCCCAGTAACAGGGTGCAGGCTTAGGATGGGCTACACTGCAAAGTGGTGCATGTGGACAGCTGACACATGCATTCCAAGTAAGAACTGGAGTCTGACAAGGCTGTTTACTCTCCCCCTTTCTCTTTCTTCTAGTAGTTGACTGGATTATGAAGACCTCCACTACTCATGGAGAGTACAAAATACAATAGACAACTTGGATGCGACTAGACGATTTGGACTTCGAAGGTGACCTAGCCCATCCATCGCATACAAATCAACGAATGCAGATGAAGATAACTTGTGTAGCGGCAGCCTCTTCATCAGAAGACCTCAACATACACAAGGAAAAAAGCAAGATTCTCAAGTGCAACACGAAGAACACTAACCCAACCATACCTAATAGAGAAGCTCTGGAAGATGTGGAGTATTTTACGTACCTGAGAAGCGTCATCGACGAACAAGGAGGATCCGATTCAAACGTTAGGGCGAGGATTGGCAAAGTGATGACCGCATTCCTACAGTTCAGGAACATATGGGACTGAAAACAACTGGTAACTAACATCAAAGTGAGAATCCTCAATACGAACATTTAGACTTCTACTGTATAGAGCTGAAATGTATGAGTATTTACCAACAATTGAATAGGTAAGATACCATCAGCAACAGCCTACTGCGGGAGAGGACAAACCAGCTTCGAGATGAAGAGGAAATTATAAAAAGACGTTGAAAGTGGATAGGACACACATCGAGGAAATCATCACGAGGCAAGCGCTAACTTGGAATCCTGAAGTGAAACGGAAAAGAGGAAGGACAAATAACACACTGTGTCGAGAATTGGAAACAGACATGAAAAGGATGAATAGAAACTGAAAAGTACTTTCCAGGAAAAGGTTGGATGGAGAATGTTTGTAGGCGGCGTATGCTCCTCCATGATGGGTAACAGACATAAGTAACTAACTAGATAAGTTCAGAGGTACCCACTAATATCCACTGTCAATGGTTAGACAAAGTATCATGCAGATTAACAGCGAACACTTCATCCTTAGGTCTATCCATATATACATGAATATTTTATTCTTGGTACTGTTCATTATCAGTTTCAATGTTCGAACCCATTTTAGTGATCTAATAATATTTAAATGACAATGCCTGACAGCAAATGATATAAATTTTTAAATATGGACTGTAAGCTAACAGATGATATGGAGCTTTTATCACCGTAATATTATTTAAGTAATAAGTTTATCAAACTGAGAGAAGTAGCTAAATTTCTAATTTTATACTCCAATAACGCCTAAACTTGGTTTAGATGAAACAAAAAGACAAAATATAAAATAAATCCACAAATTTCTCTTATTTTAATTTTCACACGGCTTAGATACTATGTAACCATAGGAACAAAGCACTTTGAATTAACTTGGACTTCAAACGTAATCAAAGCTTTTAATTCTCAAGCTTTTTGCCGCTTAATTAATTGTCACCAGCTGGAAGTAAATACTATTCATAACCTTTATTTCCTGATAAATATCTGGATAGATTATTTGATATTATTCATAAATATTTATGTTGTATTAGTAAAAAAAATCAATAAAATCCCATACTTAAGCTTAATGGTATAGATGTAATCTTTATAGCACAGTTTTTGATATTTGCAAGTGTATGCAACCATAACAATTCTATTTGAAATTTCTATGGATGACTTTTAGAATATGCCTTAAGAAGCAGGATGTATGTGAAAAGGAAACCCTATACATTATACATACATAATACATATCAAATGCAATTTTGAGTCTGTCCAAAATAATAGGTCACTTAGTAAAAACATGTACTCAGAATTCATGAAAATATTCAAAAATAATATATTATATGAACAATATTGATAAAATAAAACATTCATTTTTATTCAGCTTACAACATAACATTTCTTATAAGCATGTACGCATAATTCGAAAGCTTTATCAATTTGTATTCCATTTTCCACAGAACGTTCTTGTTTTGCTACCTTTTCTGGATTACGACTAATTACAGTTACTAAACCATCTGTTGTTAAAATGATTTGTAGAGGTAATTTATCAAATATATTTTGAGTAGATGCTTCTTCTGTTAATAATTCAAAAACTATTCTGTAAGAAATTTCAAACAATAGATAGTATAAATAAAGGTAAATAGTTTTATGTTTTATATAATAAAATTTTCTAATCTCATTAATATACTTAATGTAAAATTCAAATTAAATCACAAACTAATGTACAATTGGCATCATTTGATATTGTTTCCAGAGAATTCAAAAGTTGTTAAATTAAGTTGGGATATGGGCAACCGTTTCTAGTTAGTTCCTTGTTCTCTTAGTTACTTAATTGTATAACAAATGGCTTCAAGTAGATCTTTCAAAAAAATTGTTTACTAGCTACGGTTTATTTAGGACCGAAAACTAACAATGACATTCTGTGATTTAAATGGTTCCATTAAATGCCTGTGTTTCACTTAATGCTCTACTTGTCAGGTTTTGTCAATTCAGCTGAGTCTATGTTCAGCAGAGGTTATGTGGTTGAAGGTCCTACTTCACTTAACACATTCCATGCTTGAAAACCAGTCAGTTGAAATATAACCGACCTGTGTAGTGGATATCAATGAGTAGCAAAACTGCTATTGTTTGAAAAGAAACTGTTCCAGTTGCATGCTTTTTAAGAAGATAGATGTAAGCACTTACATATAACACAGTTATCTGTACAAGTCTAGAGGAGCAAAAACAAGTCTCGAGGTGTTGTAGGAGTTATTGTTATATTTCCATGCAATCTACTTTTGTCTGCACAATTCTATTCATTTAATGGTTTATTTCAAACTGGTCAAGTAGTATATGACTTTTCTGTTTCCATATTATCTGTGACCTTGCTAATTACATTCATGTGGATTTTTATGTGCTTGGCCTGTAAGTCTCTGTTATCTTTACTTTAATTAATTATATGTAATCATTACACTTCCCGCGTTAGAAAGAGATTAACATTTAAATTTCATTTAAACATTAAAAACACTAAGTTCAGCGAAGGGATCTCTTTTCAATTTTTAAATGAATCTTATTAACATTGACCCTGATACCTTCTACTGTTATTTGAAACACATTTGAATAATGAATTCTTTATTGATTATTCCAAATCATCTCAACATGAATAAATTGTAGTTCATTGAGATAATCATACTGAATCACTATTGGTGCATTTATATGAAAGAAAGATATAATAATATCTTAACAGCTAAATGATTCAATTATGAATCTTTCGTCGTTGTTCATCGGTTTTGTAATATACTTAACGTGGATTCTGATAATGTCGTCAAAATCGACACTGAAACTGCCTAGCTTAGAGTATGCAGCATCAAGAAAATCAAATTATTGATAGTCAGAAAACTGTCATGTAATTATTTGACTTCAGTTTAAAAATTATGAACCTAATACTCTACTATTTCTAAATTCATCATATATAAATGTAAACTGGATCTGGTGTCCTGGTAATTATCTGCTGTCTTATTGTATATAATGAAAATCATGAGATAATAATTAATGCATTTTCAAACTTTTGGCAACCATATTTTAAATACATAGAAAATAGTAAATTGTAGTAATCAGCAACACAAATCTTCAAGGCTGTATTCCTCAATCCCGTTTTCTTACTAACAACTTAAATCACCATCACTCTGATATAAAATTATTCTGAAAATCAAATAATTTAAGTAGCTCATTATTTATTATTAGTGTGAACTTTCTGAGAGGATCAGTTTAACCCCTTTTTCAATATTAACAAAATACTATGTTGATAAGCTGTAAAGAATAATTTCAGTATAACCTACCGTTTACCATGACAAACTCCATGAATTTCAATATAGTCTCCATCCATTAAACAATCCGGTATTTCATACGTGAATTCTGTATCCTGAATAGATCCAAAAAAATATATTAAAACATCTTCGATTAATAAATAATCATGAGAAATTGGTAAACAAACTTTAAATATGATTCTTGTAATTTATTGGATGATAAGTGAAACCTCATTTCAACATGTTCATAATTTATATGCTTGTAAATGTTTTGACTTAGAACTTTTTGTATGCAAATAACGTAACTCTTCACAGTGTTTGAATAATATATGGAAGTTTTCATAGAAAAGAACTCCTAAATCGATTGAAATTATAGCTTGTCACATTAATTACAACAATTTAGACGGCCTACTATTGTGTCCACTCTATAAATTGAAAAAATACCGAAGAGAACATTAAATAAATCTTGGAACAGATACATCATCACTACTCTATTAATGAAGTCATTTGTAAAAACTAACAATACTTCATATTGTTTGTTAAATATCTATTACACAAGATGACGATATACTATAGCGTCAGACTATTGAAAGCATAATTTAATTCAAATCAACTCCCGAAATTATCAACAACGAATTAAGAAGTAGAACAATATATCTTTTTTAATACCACGAAATGTAGCTACTTAGCATACAATTTGAGTAAATATGTTTTGTTATAAAACAATGTTGTTCATGTAATTCAATATCAATACGAGATTTTTTCAATTGTATGTTTAAAGCTTAAGTTCGTTCAGATCTTTAACAGTATTCTTTTCCTTATATCTCTCTGTTAAGCTTAAAACTTCAAGAATCACTATCGAAGATTAAAAAATGAAGAAAAGGTATTCAAGTGTAGTTGTCTTATTAGCAATCAAAAGTCATATTCTTAATTTTATGATGATATTATATTAAATAAAATGTTAATTAGTAACTTGTTTAAATCAATCTGATCATATAATGTGTGATAGAGAAAAATCGTTTCTTTTATAGACTGGTAGCCCATTGATTTGTCAAATCATAAATTTCTATTCAAAAATCATTTATGAAAATATGCGACTAGACTTAAGTGAATTTCGTTGGGAAGTATTGTGGATATGAATTTAATCTAAAAATTAGATTATTGACAAAGCTTGGAAATTCAGAAAGAACAGTTGAATGGTAGAAGAAGTTTGTACGCTAATTTAATTTATACCCGGTTGATTGACATTTAACACTCAATAAGTTAGGTGATTAATAGAAAGTTTTACCTGTGCTCAGTCACACATTTACACAAGACAGAATAGAATATTGCATATCTTGCAATCAATGTACTGCAGTCCAGCTAATGTGCTAACATCCGAAGGTCCACATTTCCAGGTTCTGTCAGAGCGATCAGTATACGAAGTGATGTATGAATAACCATACGAACATATGGCACTTTTGATTAAACTGGTAAAGACTTGTAAATGAATCTTGAGAAAAATCTTCTACTTACTAAATACTATGCAATCATTTACTGTATGAAATATCCTTATTACAAAATTTTCAACCAGTAAAAGTCACCTTCGATTACATAACTGACAAATTAAAACTAAGTCTATAAATCATTAAGCTAAAAATCAACTAGATCGATACCATATCCGTACAATAAATCATGACAATAAAGAAAGTGTCCAAATTTGTCATTCAGTAAAATTGAAACGCTCATCAATGTTCAAACTAAGCATAACTATACAGAAGAAATTGTTTTGAAAATTTAAAAGATATAACTGACTTAATGTTGCTTTACTTCAAGTCAGTAGCTATAGGGAAAGAATAAAATGAAATGAGGGTGCTGGTTACCACTGATAGACGGCATACCAAATACTAGTTGGTTTGGGATTGCTCGCATGAATCACCTGGTTGAAGCTAAGTACAAGTTGGTACTTTGCATCATGGTATATCTCTACACCTGGGGGAGTTTATTCATCTATAAGTGATCCGAACCAACGTCAGTGTTGGAGTAATATCATCAGGTTAGCAGCTGATATTCTGTAGGACTAAGGTATTTACCAATTAGATCACGGAGTGTTGACTAGTGACCTTTCTATCTAGTCATTAACCCTGATCAAATATTATTATTAAGTTGTAATGTGGTAAGTGGTCCAAGTGATGTTCTTTTGCATGCACTATGTCTTGATGTGCGATGTTTGAAGGTGACTTAAGTTTATCTCCGCTTATAACGTGGTCTGAATAGTTTATATGTAATAACAGACAAACATTTTATAAACCTCATGTATTATCTACTACTATAAGTGGGTTGTTTTCATATTTATCAATCATTTTGTAATGATGAGGTTTATTAATGGAAAATTATACATAGTTATATAAAAATAGTTGTTGATAATTGTATAATTAAGATATTTAGTTGAATTACATTGTTTCAGTGTCATGCTTAAAAACTTTGGTTTATTTTTATGCCATTTCTGTTATTTCAATGGTTAAGATCATAAATCAGTTGAAGCTAGACCACCATGGAAAATCTGGAAGCATTGGATGGCCGTTTCGTCCTATTGTGGGACTCCTCAGCAGTGCGCATCCACGACCTCGCCCCCACTGCGAGATTCGAACCCAGGACCTACTGGTTTCTGCTATTGTTTTACTAAACTAGTTAAAGGATGCCAAATCATATAAATGGGATCGAATGAAAAGGTGAAACTGTGATGATAATTTTGAGTTGTGAATTGTATGCGAAATCATCCTTCTGACACTAAACAAAGTTTTTTTCACAGCCATTTTTGTTCATAAGAATGACGAGAAAGTATAAAAACAGTAACTCTGTTCAGATTCATTGATTAAGTTACAAAATTCATGTCCTGAATGCGATGTAATGACAGTATGGTAACTAAAAACGCTATAGGAATCACTAACTTTATTCTCATTTTAAAACAGTCTGCATTACATAGCGTTATTGCTGATGTCTTCATAGAAGAATGAATAATTAATACCACTGCTCACAATCAATGTCAGCATTACTACTAAGACACCATCAATGCATAGTCAATACAAATGTCAAACTTTAGTACTATTTACTTCTTACTTTTCAAACTTCACAGTTTATGATATGAGTAAATGCATCTCATTACAAACATACTACAATATTTTATTTCCTAAAGCAATAGATTTATATCACGTGCATACAGTCCCACAAAAATTGAAAAAGACCCATAGTTCTGTTTACATAATTTATCAAGTTAGATAACAGTAATTAAATCATTTCAAATCTTTTAACTGAATATGTATCCCTACATTGCAAATGGATTCAGTTTTATATGACTAAAGACTAATTTATTAAAACGATATTAATATCTTCTTATTGCTTGATTGTTTAAAGTCGTACCTGCACAGTGATTCTCTCTAGCTATCTAGTCAAAATTTGATAGAGAAAACACTAAGGCTGAGTTACTTATTAACTGACTCTTAATTCGAGTCGCATTTCAATACATTGGAATAGTTTTAAACAAATAAACCAGTTTTATGATTAAACATAATACATTCACTATCCCATGATATCTGTTGTTTGAAACTTAGTAAACGAAAATTGATTAACAAAACAGTTTGGACTGTGCTAAAGATAATAACACTGAGGAAGTGGTACAACTCCTGTATAAATTGTTATCTGTACATGAATGTTTATTTGAAAGTTTTCCAATATTTCCCATGATATCGTCACTAATGAAAAGTATATTCATATTTTTTTCGTTCCTCTTCAAACCAAGCAGATGAATATAATTCGGTTTTCCTTAATGTTTATAATCCATTGATTGTTAAGTAATCTAGAACCGAATCTACTAAAACCTTCATTTCAATTGAGGCTGTTGATTTGTTATGAATATTCTTAGTTAGTACATGTCAACTTTCACTACAAAGTTCTCTGGTGGTTAGCAAAATATTCTATTCATTTGCTGTATTTATTTGTTTCAGGTTTGCAGCAAAATAATTTGAATATATCTACTAAGTCGTACTTGAAATAGTTCAGTAATGTAATACCTTCCAACGATTCCATCTTCAAACATTTATGATAGAACAAGAACATTAGACATGTAATGATTTGTATTGTCAGAATATTAGTATATAGTAAATTATAAACAGATAAAATGGGTTTCACATCCCTGTTAGTCGGCCATAGAATGAATTACATAATTTCATAGAGTTTATGCATATTTTAAAGGTAAGTTTCAACACGAATTTATGTAAGCCTATAAGATATCATTAAAAACCATGAACCAATGAACAGATAATTTACTCCAGTTTAGGAGTGTTCATTAGTGTCGATCCGAGGACATCAAAAGGCATTAACTCCTGAAAATTTTCATTTTACGATGAGCATGGTTCTTATTTGAAAACTTCTGTCAATTCTTGACTTAGCTTGCTGCTCATTCGAATTGTAGGTGATGCAGTTACTCGATAATGATGCTGGATAATAATTATATCAAACAATTTTCGAAAGCTAAATAACGTTGACAAATTAAATGTATGACTTTTAGTGTTGTGTATGGAATTGAATAGATTGGCACTGAACAAAGTTTACGTACTAAGAACATGTTTTGCTTCATGTGAGATAAAACATTGTTTCCCTATTTGGATAAATAGCGTTCATCATAGTGTTATTCAGGTATCACTATTTATAACTATTATGTATTTAAATTTTCAGGGAACAGTTGAGTAATTTAAATGTAACGTCTCTAGAACTCAAATATACTGGTTCTAGATTTAGAAGAAACAAAAATTGATTTAACATTATATGAAAATCTTTACTCATAATAGTGAGCAAAAATTAATCCTAATTATATCTGTTTTCTTATTGACTCCAAACAAACCCTTAATATATCGATGCTATTTACTGTTCGCGAAATCAAATTTTATATATAATGAAAGAATGATGAAATATATTTTCAGTCAGATCTTTTGTCTAGGTTTAAGACTCCACTCTGAGGCGCACTCATGACCCTACACGGGACGTAATCTAACACTTACAGTCCTATAAGCTATAATTCAATTACTTACACTCCCAACTCCGATCAGTTGCCAATATAAGGAGACTGTCATTCAGTACAAATATTGATATCTGTCTCACCCCGAAGTTGTGAAAATGGCTCTTCTGGTAAGAACAACCTAGTATTATAGTTATTTTCAATAAATCATTAAAGAATATCGCATAGCTTTATTTATTAGGTATGATATCGAAGTGATTATTTTAACTCAACATTTCATTGTTAGAATAGAGGTTGGAAAGCCTTTCTATTGATTTCCGTCTGGGCAAACAGCATATCACTTCATTTATAAATCAAATATAACAAAAAGTCAGAAAAGCAATGTTAGTAACAGATGAATATATGTTATCATAATAATCTTGCGGAAATTGGAAAAATGTGTGCAGCGGTAAAGTAACTGGGAATTTAGATATTAAAACTAGAGCTGTCATACAATGAATTGAATCACTTTGATTAATTTACTCCAGATATTATGATTTAACATTAAAGAACAATCATAAACATGAATTGAATAGCTTATAACCAATACTTGTTTCTGAAAAGTTCTGTTACTGAGTTCAGTTGAGATATGGAATGAAACTACCTGCAAAATAATCAGTTACCTATAATTATCATAGAAAATCCAGTCTAATCAATAGATTTTAATGTATATGGTAAAACAGTCTTTGAAAAGTGAAACTCACCTGATCATCAAAAGACTCATTCATGATGAGATGATTTTCTTGAAAATTGAATTAGTTCGTTGAATATTGAATAGTATAATGAATATTTTACAATATATTGAATAAATAATAGTCCAGTTTATCAATATTTAAATGGTATTATATTCAGTATATGTATATACGTTTGTGTTATAGACTGAGATATAATGCACAAAATGTGTATTTGTCTATTATACACTGTAATATCAATTATAGAGAAATGAATGTTCGTTCCTGCCAAGAAATATACCACAACACTTAATAATTTTTAATACTTCTGTAGTATGAGTCGTTTTTAAGAATTTTCAAGATATTTCATACTCATAGATGAGTGCTCACAGAAGGTAAACATTTATATACGTACACATATATGCACAATTACAAATATACACACATAAACTTTGAAACCAAGATAAATAATGACACAACAAATAGAACTACATATTTTATAATAAAGTCAGATACACACACATTCAGCATTGTCTGTTGCAAGCTCACTAACTGGCTATTTAAAAGACTGAGTTTTGTTTACTTGGTTTTTTCTATTGTGATAACGGCACGTGAGCACACATAAATATGTTTATAATTGTGTAGATATATAGTATTTTTAAATGAGACTTGTACTCAGACATGTTTACAATAGTGTTTCAAGAAAAATACTAACAATACACTTTGAGAGCACAGTAATGTTACCCTAAAGTGTTTGTGTGTGCATCTAGAATTTGTAAACTCACAATTGATTGATTAATTGATTAATTGAATGACTCTGTACTTATTATTGTGTGTATTTATATCTAAATTTGAATAAATCTTTATACTGTATAGTCAACCTCCACACAATGACCCTGTCTATAAAATATCTGGTCTGAGCATCCCGTCATTCGATAACAGATGTGTTTATCTTACAATAGTTATGCGAAACAGCAAACAATCTTTAACAATATATGGAAGAAAATTAATACATATTACGGAATTTTTTCGCCACATAAAAAAAAGTAGATTGTACATACTTAACTTAAGAAACGTTTATAAAATATTTTCCTTTGGTAACTAGTACTAGCTGTTCAATTAAGATAATCATTAATTTCAAAGAAAAAATACCTAATAAGCTGCAATTCCATTCTCATACACACTAAATAATAATGAATAAGAATATTTTGTTTCTCTTTTCTAAGTACGGGTTTGTGGAGATTATTAAGCCTTTTATTGAGATCATGAACCGATTGATGTATGACCACCATAGAAAATCTGGAAGCACTGGATGGCCGTTTCGTCCTGTTGTGGGACTCCTCAGCAGTGCGTACAGAGACTTAGATTTTCGCATCAATTTCATATATTCATATCGGCTGAATAACAATTCAACATTATAGGTGATGTCAGTTTTTTATGTATACTATAACTACTAGTCCGAATTCTTAATGCTAATTTATAATCCGATTTTAACACCAGTAAGTAATTGAAATTTCTCAATACCATTTTAGTATAGCTCTAAGGTCATCCATAAATTATAGTCTCATCCAGTAAGATTCACAGAATAAAATCACTTCATTCTATTTCAATCTTTATTATTATTCACAAATATACTAAAGTTATGAATAGTAACGTGATTTAAGAATGCCGTTTGCACAAAATTTAATGAAGTTGAAATCGATGTACTAAACAGAATTTTATAAAAACAAAATTAAAAGAGCAGAAAAAAAAGAAACAAAATCTTATTCATTGTATTCGAAATCAATAAGTAACAGTATACTGAAAATCAGATTGGCCATTTCTCTGTATGGTTGTATATTACTTATCTAGGTGTAAGTGACATCTGGTTAGTACAACTAGTGAGTTATATCGTCGTTTTGCAAATAATGTTGATGTACCTTTAAATAAACAAAATGGACTAACATTAATTATTCAATGGATATTTGAAAATTTTACCGATAGTCACTGAACTCTGATATAAACTACTAATTTACTTCTCAACGACAGTTCTATTTAAAGATTCTTATAACTGACTAATATCAGCAGAAGAGTCAGTAAAAGCTAAGAAACGTTTCACATCCGATATGTTCTAATTTCAAATTTTCCAATAATACAAATTGACAGATTTGAAACTTATGTTGAATATTATGAATTTAGTTTCCAACTAGGTTACTAATATTTACTACTAAAGTGTATCAAATTAGAAAATAATAGCTGTGATACTTATTCGTATTTTGTAACGAAATTAATTCTTAAAACATGTTCAATCAACTAAATAAAATTTCATTTGTTAATTGATTTCATTATAATTTTTTTTATTTTGTTCAATCAATAAAGTAAATAGTTCCAAGATTATTTTATTACTTTTCACAAATCACTTTTAATGATTTTACATTTACCAAAAACTGATTTACTGTAACATAATTGTTTCGTTTAAACAACGATACTACTAATTCAATTATAATGGAAATAAACATCATCCATATTTAAGTTTTGAAACGTTTCCATTATTTAATTATATTGTATTATTAAAATCATATTATATAGTACTAAGTACTCATAAACAAATGAATTAGTACAGAAAATTCACTTGATGTTGTTTTACTTGTATCTTCCCATTGTTATTTAAGACTGCAATTGATCAGTCTCATGTTGGCATATGTGCATCCTGTGCAGATCGCCTTAAGTCACAAGCTTTTTAAGCAAAGATGGATAGTGGCTAGCAGTGGAATCCAGGATGTGCGTTTCGTCCTAGTTGGGATTCGTCAACTGGATGTACCTGCATCGCAGTGTTGATGTTCACCCCATTGCACAAGCAGGTTGTTATCAGGACTCAGTATCTAAGTGAATAACGCGATGGCGTTTGAAGTGAACGGTACTGGTTTCGAGTCTCGAAGTGAACATCAACTCTGGGATGCTGGTGCATACAGCTGAGGAGTCTCAACTAGGTCGAAACGCGCATCCTGGATTCCACTGCTAGCCACGATCCATCTTTGCTTAAAATGAATTGGTATATGATGAGTAAACGAATATTATTCCAGTGTTTTTGTTTTTAATATATACATATATGACTTATTTCATTAATGAAAGAAAGTATTGCATACAAAAATGACTGTGATTTTTCTTATTTTTGTACTTTGATATACTTTAATGATGAAATCAAATACCATTATGATCAGATATTTATGTTTAAAAGAAAGAGAAAATTCATCTTAACAATAAGTCATATGCTTAAACTATCTTCCTTATAAAATATATCATTTTCTGATTGATCAAGTGATTGATTTCAGTTGTAATATGTGTCAGATTGTCATTTTGTTTTATTCTATTCTTATCTATTTATTCAGGCAAATTCTTAAATATAACTGTTTAGTGTTGTGAATATATATTGTCAAGGTGTCTATGGATCTATATCCACCAAGTGAGGAAAAGTTGGTCGTTATCCGATTCATTTCACATATAGTTAATGTTTTTACTTTTTTACTTATGTCCGTTACTCCCAAAAGAGTATAGGCCGCCGACCAGTACTCTCTAACCCACTCTGTCTTAGGCCTTCTTTCCAAGTTCTAACCATTTTTTGTTCATTCTTCTCATATCTGTTTCCATTAATCGGAGTAGCGTGTCCTTTGGTTTTTCTCTTCTCCTTTAATCTTGAGAATGCCAAGTGATGGCTTGAATTGTGACACAGTTGGATGTTTTCTTCAGTGTGTGTCCTATCCACTTCCAGCGCTTCTTCTTGATTTATTCCTCCGCCGAAATCTGGTGTGTGCTCACTCACTGTAGGTTGTTGCTCATAGTGTCTGGTCAACAGATCTGAAGTATTTTGCGCTTACTTACATTCGCCTGTTACTCCTCGTGAAGGAGCATAGGCCGCTCACCAGCATTCGCCATCCAACACTGTCCTGGGCAATCTTTACCAGCTCCTTCCAGTTGTTATTCATCCTTTTCATATCTGCTTCTATTATTCGACGTAATGTGTTCTTTGGCCTTCCTCTTTCCCGCTTCCCTTCAGGATTCCAAGTTAGGGCTTGCCTCGTGATGCAGTTTGACGATTTGCGCAATGTATGTCCTATCCATTTCCTCTTCATCTGGAAGCTGGTTTGTTCTCTCCCACAGAAGGCTTCTGCTGACGGTATCCGGCCAATGGATGTTGAGTATCTTGCGAAGGCAGCTATTTATAAATACGTGTACCTTCTTGATGGTGGTTGTTGTAGTTCTCCAAGTTCCAACTCCGTACAGTAGAACTGACTGCGTTGACTTTGGTATTGAAGATTGTGACTTTGATATTGGTTGAAAGTTATTTTGAGTTCCATGTTCTTCAATTGTAGGAATGCGGCCCTTGCTTTGCCAACCCTCGCCTTTCCATCTGCATCTGTATTTTGCACAGACAAATGTTACTAAACACTTGTATCTTCTGGATGATTGCCTTCGTAATTATTTAAGTTTCCGCCCCACACAGTAGAACTGTCTTGACATTTGTATTGGAAATTCTGACTTTGGCATTGATCTAGTTAATGTATAAAAAACTTATTTGTTCAGTCTGTTTTCTATCTTAAGATTCTCATTTTTAACTGGATCAAAATAATAAACATTCTCTCGTTTAATTACGTTACATAAGCTAAAATTGTTTTACTATAAGTTTGTCCATTATTTTTTATTCGTATTATAATCAGTCCTTGGGATTGTGTTTAACGTGTATTTTTTTCAGATTATACATGTTTGTATTTTAATAATTATTCATTTTTTTGTCTCTACAAATCAATAGACAAAATTTTGCACGGCTATTATTATTAATATTAATGAGTATCATTACTTGTCTCATTTACATGTACTGTAGTTCTATCAGTAACTGAGGTTTAAACGTTTTGGAAAACTATTTTCCTATTAGATATACAAGGTCGCATGAAAAATCACTGTACATACGTGTATTTGTTAGTTATATTCTTCTAATCAGAAAGGGGTTTTGTGGATATTATAGTAATTTAATAGTTGGATTCATGAGTCAGTTAAAGCTAGACCACCAGGTAAAACCTGCA